CTTTATCACATGATATTTTCTCTGTGTGTCTCTTCTCTTCTAAGGACTCTTCATATTGGAGTAAAAGCCCACCCTATTCCAGAATGACCTTAACTTATAACTTAATTACATATGCAAAGATGTTATTGCTAAACAAGGTCACATTTTCATGTCTTAGGAAGACACAGATCTTTGGAGAGACACTATTCTATCCAGTACGTGAATAAACTCCTATGTGGAATCATCTTCTTTCCTCCAGAAGGTTGTATTTATCGGTATTTGTCCCCTTATTAGATGCCTAACAAAACTGTGTCTATACATACCAATTGTTTTCAAGCAATTTATAATTTCACATGCACTGCTGTTTCAAATATTGTACAACTTCTCATATACCTTCAAAAGTATCAGTGTCCTGCCAGTCCTGTAAAGTGTTTCTTCATCATGGAGACAGATGTGATCCTCCTTGTTTACAAATGACGGAGGAAAACTAGAAAATGCCTTTCACCCTCGGAAGCTCACACGGCTAAAGAAAATGGACTTTATGAGAATGCCTACATTCCTCTGCTGACCTAGAATTGCTCGAGATGCTACACTGCATGGGGTTTGCCTCATTTACAAGATGTTGCCCTGGGAACCCTAAAGTAATCAAGGTAGGACAGAAAAGTAATCATGCAGACAAACTGTTGGGGGTGTAATCTTCTAAATGGAGAGAAAAGTACAGGCAACTTGGGGTGACACATGCTATTGTTCTCTACTCTTTTATTATGGGAGTTTGTGGGAGGCATGGGCAGGGCAAACACAAAAACGAAAAGCCTAATGTGAGGTTGAAATGAGGTTTACAGTTGGCTGTTTTTAATCTTAGGATGTTAATCTGGACTGAAGCAAAAAGCTGGTATGTTAAACATACAAATCTAGAGTCTTGTTATAAGATCTGGAGAAAATTATTTAATTTAGCTGCCTTAGTTCATTTGTGTCTAGACTGAGTTAATTAAGGAAAGATGGACCAAGTGAATAGTTTTGATGTTATACAATGTTTTACATTCCCTGAGGGCTGAATGATGATCACATATGAATACTGAAAAAAAATCTATTTAAACTGCTGTTTCTTGCTTTATTCAATAAACATTCATTGTGGCAGGTTTTGTAGTATCAGAATATTTGCATTTTTTATAACTATATTTCATTGGAAAATTGCATCTGATTCTGGGCATTTTCAGTCAAGAAAAAAGAAAATTTGAAGAGGAATGTATCAAAACTTGAACTATTTTAAATTTTATGTGAAAACAATGTTTCCTTTATCTAGCATTGTTTGGAAATGAAGTTTTCCTTGCTAAGTACTTACACTTAAAAAGATCATTTTTACTGAATGTCTCTGAGGTATATGTTAATATAATTGCTATTTTTTTCTGTCTTGAAAATCTTTAAAAACTCTGAGTTTGTTGGCTGCTTTCTCGAAAGTTAAGGGAACTGGAAGAAAAGAGCTAATGCAAAACTAATTCTAGATGACTCATTCTTACACAGTATAAAGATTTTGTTCCAGAACAGTGAGAGAAAAATCAAATGCCCTAACTACCAGAATGGCTCACCCATAAAGTTTACTCTGACTGATGTTCCCTAATTTTGGCAAGTAAGAAGAAGTAATATATCATCTTTTTTCACATTTCTCAATGAGTTGCAAAAAGATGGGTTATTATTAACTGGAATAACTATCAGACAAGGATTCAAATAGATTAAAATAAATCCATCTATGCTCTAGCTTTCCATATTAATTCCAATAAATAATTTCATTTTGGGAAAGATTAAAACAATGATTGCCCCAAAGTATGTGATTCCTAATTATATATATCATGATTGTATGCTTTCCTTTTCTTATTTTATTTTATTTTTGAGACAGAGTCTCACTCTGTTGCCTGGGCTAGAGTGCCTGCCATGGCATCAGCCTAGCTCTAAGCAACCTCAAACTCATGGGTTCAAGTGATCCTTCTGCCTCAGTCTCCCAGGTAGCTGGGACTACAGGCACTCACCACCATGCCTAGCTAATTTTTTCTATATATATGTTTAACTAGCAAATTAATTTCTTTCTATTTTTAGTAGAAATGGGGTCTCGCTCTTGCTCAGGCTCGTCTCGAATTCCTGAGCTCAAATGATCTGCCCACCTTGGCCTCCCAGAGTGCTAGGATTATAGGCATGAGCCACTGTGCCCAGCCTGTATGCCTTTATTTTCTAAAGTCATGCAATTATTTCTCCCAATTATAAACAGCATAGTTCCAAGCAGAAGAAAATAAAAATCATTCACATTTCTATTTCCCAGGGACAGATATTATTATATTTTGTAAGTTCTTTCAGGCTTTATAGACATCTTTTTTGATAGATAGCTTATTAAAATTGGTTTCATACTCTTCTTCATCTTTTTTCTATATTTAGCAAGAGATGCCTGTATAGTTTATGTGTTGCATGGTTATAGCTTTCATATCCACCAGTCTATCATGAATATTGTCTATTCTATGCCACAGTTTTTCAATGGCTAAATCATCTATTCAGCATTTATCAATATTTTTCACCACAATACCATAAATCACAGGGGAGAGGACATTAGTTCCAGCTATAAAGGATCAAAATTTCTTTAAAGCTTTGTGCTTTATCATTGGCACTCCACTCTTGAGTAGATTTGTGTCTACTTCATATGTCACATGATATGTTATTTAACTTTTCTCCCCAAATCTGCAAGTAAATCCAATGAATTGTATGAGATTCATTTGGTGATATTACATACTCCCTGGCATATGAAGGTCTGGGTATGAAGGTCTGGGTATCCCAGTTTGAGAAGTGCTGGTTTAATTTATGATTTTATGATTATGATTTATGATTTTATAAAACTACCTGCCTGAATCAACAATGGAGCCATGATGCAGAGACTATGCCTGAGTCTCTGGAGTTTAGAAGAGAAAATGGGGGTAGAGAGAGGCACTTAGTTCTCTTACATAACATGACAAAGAGAAGACAGTTTAATGCTAAAGGTCATGGTGGGTGCTTCTTTTTTTTTTTTTTTTTTTAAATCATCTTCAACAGTAAAGTCTATTCTATAACATATTGGGAAAGACTCAGTTTACACTTAGGTGAATGCTACAGTTCCTGTTCACACAATCAGTTTTAATTATCATTCAATTATTTCAAATAATAACTTTTCAGGCCAAATTTCCTAGTCCCTATGTTACGCTCTGGAAATGAAACAGACAAGTTCCTCTTGCTCTTGAGGAGTTTAAGATTAGTGAGTTGAGGGAGAGAAATTGAAGATAGAGGACAAAAAAGACTTTAATGGAACAATGACTAGGAAGAGCTGAGAAAGAAAATGGCCCCAAATACACATTTCCTCTTGGGAAGGTGTTTTTTTCTTTATTTTTCTATCCTTGAGACAAATGGCTAAGAAAAGAGTTTTCTTGCAGATACAGGCAAATTTAGAGTTGAAAAGGAAAAAAAAATAATGGACTTTATTGCAAAATGGCTTTATTTTCTATTCAAAGAATATAAGAACATCAGCATAGTGAAGATAGGGCCAGGGAGAGATAGGAGGATTGAGGATTGTTGGAGAAAATTAGTGCCAGGGAGTGAGAAACTTGCATGTCTAGTATCCTTAAGGGCCTAGTTAAGGTAGTAAAACAAAATTTTTAGTGGTCTCAATCAGCATAATCAGCAGTAGTTTTGCAAAATTCAGATGTTTATATGACCTCAATTTCAAAGATTGATAAAGCCATTATGGTAGATCATTGGCTGAATAATATTAGCTATTATATAGGGGTGTGCTGATAAATAATTGTATTAGTACATGCAAAGTACATAGCACACTGTCTGACATAAAGTACACAAATTTATGTTAATTTTTTTAATAAAATAGGACATAAGAGAATTTATAGTCCTGATTGAGAATGGAACTTAGGTGTTAATTATTAAATGTGGCATTATTGTTAAAAAAATAAAAAAAAGAAGAGACTTTCATGAAAGTCTCACGAAAGTTTCATGAAAAATAGCAGGAAGCACTGAGAATATAGAATTTTCTTATTAATGTTACTGGAAAACAGGTTTAGAAAGAGTAATCAAGAGGAAGATGATATAATGATTATGTGAATTTTCAACCCTAAGAGTTTAGGGGGATGGTCATATCTGGAATGTAACCATGGGAGTGGGTCACTGAGGAAGAATGTTTACGTAGATGATTAGAATCAAAGAAGTCAATGTGTTACACAGACTGCATCACCTGGAAGTTGAGATTGCCCAGGATTTAGGATCCAGAGGAAAACCATAAAATGGATATGAATTCAGATGTTTGGCCTTAAAGGAAAATAAACTATTGAATACGGCTGTGAGGACAAAATTTTAAAAGAGGTATTGAGTAGCTAGACAGATGATGATCCTACTATTTAATATTTAGATGACTTTATAAAGAGTACAAACTGCTCCACTGAGGGAGAAACATCTTAAGCAATAGAAATTCAGATATCAGTTAAGGGGATGATTTCTTAGAAAAGGTTTAGGACAGGACTTGTTTTTCTCTCTTTTTGAAATAGAAAGAGCAAAATAACTCTTAGTGATTGCACAGTAGAAGCGGTTAGGAGAAGCAAAGTAGCCCTAGGAAGGGGAAAGGTTAATGTAGGTGGGGAAGACAGTCAGGAAGGTAACAGGTAATCGGGGGGGCTTTTATCTTGTGCAGTTCTTTTGAACCTTTGGGCATAAAGAGAGTAGACAATAAAACTATATTCATGGAACTAAATTTCCTCAGGGTTTCTAAATCAACTTTAGTGCAAAGTTATTTTGTGCTTTTGTTGCCTAGAGGACATGAAAATTTCATGGTAAACTTCATGGGCAGAAAACCTTTACTTCTCACTAAATACTATATATACTGCTCTTCCTCAGTGTAAGAGCAGGAGTGGACTTGGAAATAAATGTAATTCCTCAGAAATTCCCAATTCTTCCATATTTAGATATTACAAACAATACTTGCTCCTATTTCTGAAGGAATCACTTACCTCCAGACACACACTCTGGGGTGAAAGAGATGTCATCAAGGGCAATAAAGATGTCCTCATTTTCATGCAAATCAGCTTCAAAAGCCACCTTAAAAGGACTGTTACTGGAGAGTGGTGCATAGCCATACACCCATCCGGTTCTTTTATTTCCAATCACTGACCAAACCAGGATGTTCAGCCCCGATTCCTCAATGATATACACCTATAAAAGATCACAAAAAATAACTCTTTGTGATTGAATGCTAGATGTATATGGGATCCAGGTGATCGATTTATGAAAGAATGAAATCTCTGGTTATGTGACAACTCAGAATGTTGACTATCATGTTTTCTATCTGTAGAAATTGTGGGTTATAAAGTGAGACAATGGCTGTTATCATTTCTTTGGTTCATGGAACATTTGTTTGGTTTTGTCATACTGATTTCTGTATAACAAACTGGGCATGATCAAAAACTATAACTATCTCATCATTTAAAATTCTAGAGGATATATAAAACAGACATTTTTCGTTGATGAAGAACTTTGTGTATGTTAGATTAAGGGTGTATGAATGCAGAAAAGAAGACCCTCACACTAAATGGACATGGGCTTGACAAGTCTTTTCAGAAATGAAGTAATGTGCAGCAAATATTTAATATTTGACAGAAAATCATTTTGGATTAACTGACATCAATATTCAGCACTCTTTATAGTTTAAGGACTAACAGATGCAACCAACAAGAAGTGAAACAGAAATAGAGTTAGCTTTTCAACCAACAAACATTCTAAGTTCTAATATTTTTGTTTAACAGTAGAAATAATTCAAAACCAAATAAAAAACACCATTTCCTAGTGCTCTTTGAAAAAATCTATATCTAACCAACAAGAATAGGTAAGATTAAAAATATATTTTTCTATATTTTCTTTTTGCATCTAGATTTTACAGCTATCATTTCCTTAGATCTTAAAACTATATGTAGCTATATATATAAAATACTATTATCTATCTATATTTATATATGGATTGTAATAAACTTCAGCAGTCACTTACATAACCCTTTCTTTTACATGGGAAAAATAAGATTCAGAGGAAAGAAAGCACATGGATAGTAATTTTCTTCCATTGCAATAGTCTTTTTTTTCAATGACCTCCCTTACTGAAAAATCTTATTGTCTCACTTTTTTCTTAGTGTCAAAATTTACCTATAGATAACTTATTCTATAAAATTTATCTAAAATTTATACTATCATAAGGAAAGAATAATATTGTATTATATATTATGACATTAAATTGACATTCCAGAAATATTACCAAGAACCACCAAATGCTCCAGAGTCAGAAATTAAGTGTGTTGTCAATATTCACCAGGACAAAAAGCCTAAAATCAATTCAGATATCCAACTAGTAACAGAAGTTAAACAAAACAATGATAGGTCAAATGATCATACACTAAAGACCAAAGAAAAATTCAAAACCTTGCCAAAACGTTGGAAACCTGAGAGGTGAGACTTTAACACTATAATCAAATTGCACTTTTTGGAAAAGCAGACATTTCTCAAGCAAAAATCACTTTTTATATTTTTTCTTTAATTAATGAAGTAAGCTAAGATTCAGTGCAAGGGTATTTGGGTCATTGACTATTTCCGATCTCACACCTAAGCACTCATCCCAAAGAGTCTTGCGTTCCAGGATTTATAGGATACTTAGTTTTCAAATTTACACAATTATTTTCCATTTCTTAAAAATTAAAAATAAGAAGATGTGATATTTACAATTCAACTTGCTGGTAACAGGATGACTATATGGAATCTAATTAAAGTGAGTTCTGATTTTTGCATAAATCCTGATTTACATTGCAATAATTTGAAAAGGCATTTTGTTACAGTAGTCTGAAGGAATTGACACAGCATTATATAATGATAAAGTGGTTAATTCTCAAAAAAGACATAACAATCATTAATGCATATATGCCTAACAACAGAGCATCAAATGCTTGTGGCAAAAACTCATAGAACTGCAAGGAGAAATAGATGAATCCACTATTAGAGTTGAAGACGTCAACACTCCTCTGTCAGCAATTGGCAAATCAGAGGGCAGCAATCAGTAAATATGTAGTTGAACTGGATAGCATCAATCAACTGGATCTAATTTATATTTATAAAATACTTCATCTAGCAGCAACAGAATATATACTCTTCATAAGCTCACACAGAACATTAACCAAGATTGACAACGTTCTGGGCCATAAAACATACTGTAGCAAATTTAAAATATTAGAAACCATACAGTGAATGCTCCCAGACCATATGGAATAATAAAATTAGAAATCAATAACAGGAAGATAGCTGAAAAATGCCCAATACAATAACACATGTGTCAAAAACGTTCTAAGAGGAATTTAAAAACATTTTATTTCAATTAAAAAATTAAAAATGAAAATACACCTGACCAAAGCTTATGGGATAAAGTGAAACAATGCTTACAGGAAAATTTTATAGCATTGAACATATATAGTAAAAAGTAAAAAAGATCTAAAATCAATAGTCTAACATTGTTCTTTGAAAAGATCAATAAAATTACTAAACCTCCAGCCAGGTTACCTAACTGAAAAAGAGAGATGATACCAAATATTAATATCAGAATTGAAAAGGAGCCATCACGTCTGATCCCATGAATATTAAAAGGGTAATGAAATAAATTTTAGCAATCTATGCCATTTGAAAATCTAGATATAATTGACCAATTCCTTGAAAGGCACATCTACCAAAACTCATACAGGGAAAAACAGATCATCTAAATAGATCTATATGTGTTAAAGAAATTGAATCAATTATTAATCTTCCAAAACAAAATCCTAATACCAAAACCAGATGAAAAAATACTAGAAACGAAAACTGAAGACCAATATCTCTCAAGAATATAGACATAAAAATCCTCAAAAAAATTAGCAAATTGAATCTAACAATTTATAAAAATAATTACATACCATGACCAGTTGGGATTTATTCCAGGTATGGTAGGCCAGTAAACATGGGAAAATCAATTAATGTAATCCATCATATCAACAGGTTAAATTACAAAGAAAAATTATATAATTATATCAGTACATGCAGGAAAAGAATGTGATGAAAACCAACACTCATTCATGATAAAAACTCATAGGAAACTAGGAATAGAAGGGAACTTCTTCATCTTAATAAAGAATATCTATAAAGAACCTATAGCTAATATCATCCTTAATGGTAGAAAACTAGATACTTTCCTACTAGGATCAAGAGCAAGCAAGAATATATGCTCTGACAACTCCTATTCAACATTGTACCGGAGTTCCTCACTAACATGATAAAATAACAAAAAGAAACAAAAGGTATACTGATTATGAAGGAAGAAATGAAACTATGTTCACAGATGACATGACTGTCTATGTAGAAAATCCCCAAGTCAACAAAAAACTCCTGAAATAAGCAATTAAAGCGAGGTTGCAGAATACAAGAGTAATATACAAAAATTGATTATTTCTTTATATAGCAGCAATGAATAATTAGAATCTGAATTAATAATACCATTTGGGCTGGGCATGGTGGCTCACGCCTGTAATCCTAGCACTCTGGGAGGTCGAGGCAGGTGGAGTGCTCGAGGTCAGGAGTTCAAAACCAGCCTGAGCAAGAGTGAGACCCCATCTCTACTATAAATAGAAAGAAATTAATTGGCCAACTAATATATACAGAAAAAATTAGCTGGGCATGGTGACACATGCCTGTAGTCCCAGCTACTCGGGAGGCTGAGGCAGTAGAATTGCTTGAGCCCAGGAGTTTGAGGTTGCTGTGAGCTAGGCTGATGCCACGGCACTCACTCTAGCCTAGGCAACAAAGTGAGACTCTGTCTCAAAAAAAAAAAAGAATAATACCATTTATATTAGCACCAAAAAAGACATATATACATATAAATCTAACAAAAAGTACATGATATATATGAAGAACACTACAAAACTGATAAAAACCTCCCAAACCGATAAATGGATATTTCACGAGGAAGACTCAATGTCATCAAAACGCAAGTTCTTTCCAGTTCGATTTATTGATTCAATTAGATCCCAGTCAAAATCCCAGCAAGTTATTTTGAAGATATTGACAAATTCATTCGAAAGTTTGTAAAAAAAAAGGCAAAAGACTCAGAATAACCAATGCAATGCTGAAGGAGAAGAACAATGTTAGAAGACTGACACTTCCTGATTGTAAGATATAATATAAAGAAAGCTACAGTAATCAAGACAACAATGTGGTACTGGTGAAAAAACAAACAAATTGATCAATGGAACAGAGTAGAGAGGCCAGAAACAGACTCACATAAATATCAGCAACTGATTTTAACAAAGAACAAAGGCAATTCAGTGGAGAAAGGATGGTCTTTTCAATAAATGAAGCTGGAACAACTAGACCCACAAAACAATAAATAAATAAATCTAGAAAGAGAGCATCCATGTGTCACCAAAATTAACTCAAAATTGCTTATAGACCCCAAAGTTAACTTCAAACTATAAAACTTACAGAAGATAGCATAGGAGAAAATTTAGGTGACTTGGGGTTTTGCAATGACTTTTGAGATACACCACCAAACCCAGGAATCATGAATGGAATGTTGGTGACTTGGACTTTATTAAACTAAAAACTTCTGCTGTGTGAAAAACACTGTTAGGAGAATGAAAGAGAAGCCAGAGACTGAAGAAAACATTTTAAAACATCTAATAAAGGATTGGCATTCAAAATATACAGAGAACATTAAAAACTCAAGAAAATAAACAACCTAATTTCTAAAATAAAGGACAAAAGATTTGAACAGACATTTCCCCAAAGAATATATTCAGATGGCAAACCAGTATATAAAAAAATGCTGAACATCTTATGTCATCAGGGAATTGCAAATTAAAACAAAAATGAGATGCCACTACACATATGTTAGAATGGCTATTTCCAATCACTGAAAATACCAAATGCTCCCGAGGATGCAGAGTAACAGGAACTCATTCACTGCTGGTGGGAATGCAAACTTGTGTAGCCACTTTGGAAGACAGTTGGGTAGTTTCCTACAAAGCTAAACATACTCTTACCATATGATCCAGTAATTGTGCTACTTGATATTTACCCCAATCAACTGAAAGCTTGTCTGCACAAAACCTGCACATGAATGTTTACAGCAACTTTATTCATAATCATCAAAACTT